GGCTGGCTTGCAGTGCTGCGTCCTAACCCACTGGGCCACCAGGGAGGACCAGGGAACACTCTTAAGAAACTTTGTTTACTGTGGGAAATTTCAGAACATTGGACTTAGAAGACACTGTGTACTGCGCTTTGTGTGGCTAGGACTGGGCACCTGCTAGGTATAGACACTATCACAGTGGTTCTCAGTGTGTGTGTGTGGTGTGGTGTATGTTCCTGGCCTTGAGTGTTAAAGATCAAGGATGTCTCCTAACTTCCCCTAATGCCCAGGGCAGCTCCCACCAACAAAGAATGACCAGACACTAAAGGTCACAGGTTGAGAAACTCTGCTATACTTATTTGTATACTTATTTGACCACAAAATTATTTTTTCTTGAAGTGTTTTGCAGCACTTCAAGCAAATAGTGAAAAAGATGTGCAAAAACTTGCCCTAAATTTATCCACAATGTTTTATTTTCAAGGTGTGACATTCCTTTGACCTCCACATGACCCTGCCATTGGACCGACTTCTGTGCAATTCTCCTGAATTGGCTTGACACCATATTATCTTTGTTTTCTCCTTAAATTTCTTCCCAGTTTTCTCAGTAAGACTTGAAACCATCTTTAATTGCTACATCTTGTGAATTCACAGATCCTTTTGTCTGTCCCTCCTTACATGAGACCTTGATTGTTCTTTTCTGACTACAAAAATAAGTTCCAAATTTCACTTCTTGCTTTCCTTGGGTAAGGAAGTGTTTGTGAATTTTTGAGCATTAAATAATCCCCAGGAATCAAGTTCTAAATTATAATAGATATGCTTTCATGCATATGACTCACCCTCTGAACTAGGAATATTCTTTGAGTCTTGACAGCATAGCATGTAAGGAACGAAAGTACAGAATGATATTGCTCAAAGTTTCTATGCATTAAAGCCTATATTATATCATATCAAATATGCTCAGTGATTTTGTTGATTTAGGTTGGGCAAACTTACATGTGCATCCAGTCATGAATAAAAAAACTATTCTGGCAGGCACTTTTGGAGAGCTACCTATAAACCCTAAAACTTACTGCTCTATGACAAAGACAAGTGCCTGCACATATTGAAGCACTGTATTTATTTATTAAAGATTTATTTTATTTATTTATGCATACAGGAGCTGGGGTCTAGGCCAGAGGTATGGGGGAGGGGTGAAAGGATTCACCAGACACAGGGTGGGGAGCAGAACAGGCAGATCTACTGAAATGTACTGCTGAGGAGATCAGGGGGCAAGATAGGCAAGTTCTGTTGAGCCATGTGAGTCAGGTTCCTGATGGTGATAGGACTCTTGCTACAGTGGCTGCTGATAGCTTCTTAGTGCTAAGACTTAACCCCTTGTGCCACCAGGGAGGCCCAAGAGAACCATGCAAACATCTGCTCAGATTAGTAAATTGAATCAAGAAGGAAACTTATTCCTTGACTCAAATAGAGACTCCTTTGGTTAAAAAAGTCACTTAAACACTAAACTGAGGACATTTGTTGCCTTTCTTAAATTACAGATGTTTTCTCAGAACTCCACTTCTAAACAGTCCAACCAGCTGTAGCGAAGGCCTATGTAAATTGATAAGATGCATCTGGCTTCAACACATGAAGAAGAGGGGCAGGCACTTTGTGTCTCCAGAGAAACTGGTTGGTGTGGGAGCTGAGTCTCAGAACCACTTGCTCTGTGTATGAGTGCCAAGTTAATCCCCAGCAGGGAGAGACAGAGAGGCGGGCTGACTGCTGGGCTTTTCTTGCTGTTGAAAATTCACCAGGCACTGAACAGAAATTTTTCTCCTCTCTTCCTGGATATCTTCTTAAACATGAAGGTAAGATAATAATTTTATTATTATTGTAAAGCTAGCATAAAAAAGAGTGAAACTTAACTGAGAGAAACCAAATAAGGGAAAGACATGGGAAGATAGAAAAGAGAAAGATCAGGGAGGGACTTAAAAAATTCCATACTTAAATATATCACAGTTCAACCAAAGTGAATTCCTTTTCTTGTCTCGCAGTGAACTTAGTGGTTCAGAGGTCTGGGAATTTGGGTTGGAACATTCATGAAAGCCTTAAGGAAATCATAAAGAAAGATAATAGTACTATTGTTATTTCTTCAGGAAAATTTTCCATTAGCATAATTTTATGTGATTTGAAGTCACATAGTGAGCCCTTACTCTCCCTAACTGCCTCCTCATGATTTGATTTATCTAAGAGTGTTATAGAAAAGTGGATTTGGACCTTTGGAACTTTAAACTCTGGAATCCTGGATGAAAGGATCAGGATTGTGAGAGAAAATATAAGGAAATGGAATGAATGTAAAAAGACTTACTAAGTAATCACAGTGACTAAAAGTAAAATGGCCAAATGTCAAAATAAAAAAATTATTATTCAACCAAAGACAAGGCCAAAGAATAAACAAAATCATCAATTAGCCTTCTGGATTGCAAAAATAAATGGAAATAGCTACTATAATTTTATTATTGCAAATTTTGTTATTAAGGGTAAAATTTGCATTATAATGCTGGGACAACAACTTCTCAAATCTGTCAGCTGCTGTATTGTTTCTGGGGTCACTATGCTGTCCATTTATAATACTGAATCCCCACTCACTTTTAAATGGAGTTCACAAAGGAACAGATTTTTTCTGTATTGTTTGTTTGTTTATTAAGGAATATTGATTTACAACCCTGTATAGGTTCACAACTCCTCAGATGTGGGTTACCACACCACATCCCCCACCAAATCACTCATAATCCTCCACCAGAGAATATTGGGTCCCAGCACCCTGTTATCCCCATCACCAATGGACTACTATTCACAATTCATGAAATGAAATTGTGGCATTTGTGACAACATGCATCATGCATGGAACTGGAGGGGACTGTGTTGAGTGAAGTAATTATTGAGAAAGACAAACACTAGAGTTCCAGGTCTTGATTAATTCATGCATTCATACATTTAAACAATTAAAATTTAAACACAAATCACAACCTTAAATTGTTTTATGGTACACTAGAATATCAGTAACCCTACACCACAAGAATGAATGTGATATCTATTACTTTGCCTTGTATTTTTTTTAAAGATTTACTTTTATTTATTTATGTGTATAAGAGCTGGGGTGTAGGCCAGAGGTGCTGGGGTGTAGGCCAGAGGTGCAGGGGTGAGAGAATTTCACCAGAGGCAGAGTGGGGAGCAGAACAAGAGAATCTACTGAAATACACTACTAAGGGGAAGCAGCAGGTGAGACAGGAGAGGTCTGCTGCACCATGTGGGTCAGCTCCCTGGCCAGGGATTGAACTCATGTCGCAGTGGTTGGTGATAGCTTAAAAGTACTAAGACTTTAACCCCTGCACCACCAGAGGTGGGTGGGATGGTTTGCTTTGTATTTTAAATTAAAGTTTTTGAACATTTGTTAGCTAAAAAGGGCTTCTTTTCCCAAAATCATCTAGCTTATATATTTTCTGCTACTATTTATATTAACAATCAACGATTTCCCGATTTCCCTAGTTATTTCATGATGAGACATTTTAATAATTGGTTTGTGTTTTCAAATGTGTTCACTATTATTTATTGTTGTGATATTTTGCTTTTGTGATAAACATGTTTTTATCATCCAATTGGCTCATAAAATATTAAAGATTTAGTGCTTTTCAGAATACAGAGTTCTCACCTATACTTGAAAATAGATATTTATGTTTTTTGTGCTTTTTGGAGAAGGGAAACTTGGAAATTATCTAGTCTATTAAGATACCCAGCTGCTTCTGGTTGTCTTTATAGATTTGAGTGTAGGAGCTGAAGGAAACAGGTGTATATTAGACTTTTATTTAAAGTGGAAACTTAGGGGACAAGGATCTAGCCTTTTCTGTGGTTCTTTAATTCTTTAAATTCCCGAATCAAAAATCCTGACATGTACAGATGTAGTCATTTTTACTTCACTAAAGATATTCAAACTAAACTATGTTGTTTTCTTCTACCCAGGCAATAAGCTTATTCATCCTGGCAGGATTTATAGGAAAGTTTGAAATATTTTCAAGGTAAACTATTTTTTTTTTATTGTGTGTGGGTATCATTAAAAGTTATTTCTCCTATTTTTAGGAAATTCTTTAGAATGGTCTGATTTTTCACACTGTAATCTGAGCATATTTATCCCTCCAACAACCCTTTCATCTTTCCACTTAAAAAAAAAAGGCAAAATATGTCTAATTCTTGTGTTTGTCTTTATTTTGTTTTGGTCTCTGTTTTCTACTTATCCCAGCACTAAGCTTTTACCTGTAATTCAGAGAATGTTCTAACACATCTTAGGACAGAAAGTGCTTTTTAAATGTCCTCACAAAACTTTGTTCGGATTTCAAAAGTTGAGTTTTTTTAAGGAAATTATTTTATGGCCTTGAGACCTAAGAAAAAGCCATATCACTTACCCATGGCGTGTGACCATTTCTCTTTTTGATGGGACACAAACAGGTCAGTTTATTTTTATTTATTTATTTATTTTTAAAGATTTATTTATTTTAGTCATACAGAACTGGGGTACAGGCCAGAGATGCGGAGGATGAGAGAATTCACCAGGGACAGAGTGGGGAGCAGAACAGGCAGATCAACAAAGTACACTGCTGAGGGGAGCAGCGGACGGGTCAGGAGAGGTCTGCTATGCCATGTGGTCACCTCCGGGGCAGGCCGGGATCGAATTATGTGGAAGTGGCTTGAGCTTCTTAGTGCAGTGCTTTAACCCGCTGCACCACCAGGGAGGGCCAGGTCAGTTTATTTTATGAAATTATCAAAATATATGTTAGGACCTGTACTCGTGACTGGAGATACCAAAAGGAGCAGGACATTTCTGAGAATCCACTGTGTGTGATACGGGCCTTGAAATGGCTGATTTCAGTCCAATGTGATAAGGGTTCTTTGAGAGGACTGTGCAGTGTGAGAACAGCATAGGAGAAAAAGGCCCTTCCGAAGCCTCCGTGTTTCCTAAACCTGACTGTTCCTGGAACACAAAATAATACCAATAACATGGCCCTCCCTGATGGCCCAACGCATAAGGACACAGCACTGCAAGCTGGCCACAGCCTCTTCAGTGTGAGTTTGATCTCCCTCTCCACAGATGATCCACATGGCGCGGAAGACCACTCCTGACCTGCCCGCTGCTGCCCTCAGCAGTGTACTTCGCTGATCTGCCTGTTCTGCTCCCCACTCTGTCTCTGGTGAATCCTTTCACCGCCCCTGCACCTCTGGCCTGCACCCCAGTTCTGTATACATAAATTAATAAATCTTTTAAAAAATAATAATACCAATAGCACAAAATTTAAATTGTTTAAGGGTCAAAAGTCCTAAGGCAGTTGGATGATTGGTGCCAATTCAAGACTACAGGTTTGTAAATTTGGCTCCAGAAAAGGCCCAGAGACACACAGGCTGCGGGTTGGACTTCCTACTTTCAAAAGGTTCAAGGTCAGTGCCAATTCCATTAATTCAAGGTGTCTGCCAGGTGAGTAATGGGCTTGAAATGCAGCCTATAGAGGCCTTGTTCCTTCACCCTTTGTAGGGGTATAAGTGGGCTTTCTGAGTCTCTTAGATCCAAGTTATGTGACCTCTGACATATTCCGAGTCAAGCACTGTGTGAGTGTCAGCTCTCCATTGTCTGCATATGTTTTATTTGGGTGGAATTGTTTTGGCACCAATTGTGCCTGGTTGGGTGGAATGTGTTGGAACATTTAAAAGTATAGGCCTGTCCGTTAGCCTCTGTCAGTTTAGTTTCCCACTTCTAAGGTCTTTTAATGATTCTTCTCTCCCTTAAGAATTGCTGTATAACTTCAATTCATCCTTCAGAATTCCGTTTAAGATATTAATACATCCTCCAATGTATTTTCTCACTTATCTTCCTGATTCTGAACACACCTTTATCTGTATTTCCATTACACATCATACCGTACATGTTTCTGGTAGGAAATGGATCAAATTAGATACATTATAGTGTGGGACTATGATTACACCATTATATTTTGATGACTTGTGATTGTATCACTCAATATGATTATTTATACATTTGTGTCTTCGTCCTCCCACTATTAATCCACAGCCCTAAATATCTGAATAGCTCCTGGTGTTAGTTTCTAAAAATCATGGTCCAGCTCATATATATGTTTTATGTTTGGGATACTCCTGATGCTTTTTAGAAAAAAAAATGTGAAGGTATTTTGAACTATATTTAACTATTCTTTGTGTTCCTCTCTTTTATTTTTCTACTTGCTGTCTAATGACAATTTGATAGTGCCTCTTCTCCAATCAATTGCCAGTGGAATTCCTATGGCCCTTGGTCAGAATGCAGTGGCTGCACCAACACTCAGGTGGGATCACGTCAAAACTTTGTTATTTTTTTTTTTTAAATTTATTTATTTGTACATACAGAACTGGGGTACAGGCCAGAGACTCAGGGGCAGTGAGAGACTTCACCAGAGACAGAGTGGGGAGCAGAACAGGCAGATCAACGAAGTACACTGCTGAGGGGAGCAG